CAGAGATGCATACGTCAAGGTGTGGGGAAAAAGCGTGGAGCTTCCATGCACTCCGAGGGTCCCATTCTCCCCAAACCTCCGTGTGTTTACCCACCCGGGAGCTCTCCACACTGTGTTCTTTTGGTCTTTTCATGGAGACTTCATCACCCAGGAATGATGACATCCTTGGCCATCCGAGACCAGTCTCCATCTCCAGCCCTTCTCCTTTCCCTGGGATTAAAAATTCCAACTCTCTAAACACAGGGCAGGTTCTCCTGGTAACTGGCCCCCATTCTTAGATCACTTCCCTAACATGGCACAAACCACTTTCTGGTTCTCTTCCCCTAGGAAATTCAAGGATTTTAGGGGCTCCGTGCCAGAAGCCAGGACAAAGACCAAATATATATTTCTTATTAGAAATCCCAATATCACAAGCTCCAATTTGTTCCCAGTTTTTCAGCTCAAACTGTGTTGACTCCTTCTTCATTGCTTAGGGTCGACGAGCCCTGTCAACGTGAACCGTGTTCATTGGAGGAGGAGGAAACTTTCTCCCAGCCTGTTAAAAGATCAGAAGGAAAAATGGACACGAGATGTATCCCTGAGACTCAGGAGTACGAACAGTCCAAAACGTGATGATAGGATCTGGGTCTGTTGTGGCCAAAGGGACAAACAGTAGGCGTAAGCAAGAGGATCCGCAAAACAGAAAGATGGGATCAGCAGGGTCGGTTATGCTGTCGCCAACAAGGCCAACAGAGGAATGGGAAGAACTGAGGTCAGTCGTTAGGATGAGACGTGATAACAAGAAAGCGAAGCCCTGAGATGCATATGCAGGGAGCATATCCAAGACCACTCGCATCAGCACGGCCTCCAGTTAGGGCAGGGGCCAGTGCTCGGGACAATTTGATGCCGTTCCCCAAGAGGAGGGTTTGACACTAAACAGCCAAATCAATGTAGTTCCCCTCATCAGAGAGAGGGGTTTCTGTTCAACTCAGGATGTTCAATAGTGCCCAGCCCTACAACTGCTAACAAGGAGCCCTGGGTCTGGCTGCGTTCCACTCCAGTGGGGTTGGAGGTAAGAGAAGAGGGCTCAGGGATAACTCCTGAGAAACTCAAACATTTCGGCTAGGGGTAAGTGCTGGAGCTGGCAAAGGAGACCGAGCCGCCCAGGCGCGATAAAAATTAGCAGGGGGTGGTCCTGGAGGCCAGGGTCAGGCGTCCATGGGTATGTGCTGTGGGGCTGAGAGCACCCTGCTGGACCGAGGTCTGTATACCTTAGCCTTCACCCTCCGTTGGTGGAATGATGAAGGAGGAAGTCATATGGCAGTGAGCTGAAGGGTAAGTAGAAAGTGGGGATGTGGACACGATCACTACAGAGACTTTTTAAGAAGGGTGTGGCTGCGAATATAACAGAAACTGTGGCTGGAAGCAAAAGTAGGTGGGAAGGTGGAGGGAAGGATGGCAGTGAATGGACTCTTCTTCCCCTACCCGGCGTCCCAGCCTCTACTTTTCTTTCCCCTCTCCTCCATTTTCCAAATCCATTCTACACAAATCCCCGGACATACGTAAAACACTAAAAGTTTCTAAAATGAAGACATAGGCCCTTCCAGTTCTGATGTTCTGACATCTTATCCCATCCAGCCGTTTCCGGCTCACATGCCTCTGGGATTGCCAGTTCTTGAAGGAGAATGCTATTCTCTCCTCGGTCTACAATCTGACCCCTTCCCTTATTCTTGTCTGTTCCCTAGTTAGACCCTTGTCTCCCTGACAAGAAAAATATATAACCTCGTTCACTCAAAATAGAGGAAAGATACATACCTATATTCCTTATCTGTAGTTACACAACCATTAAGAGCACTGATTTTCGGGGGCACCTGGTTCACCCAGTCAGTAGAGCATGTGACTCTTCATCTTGGGGTTGTAAGTTCAAGCCCCACACTGGGTGTAGAGATTACTTAAAAAAAAAATCGTTAGAAATAAAAAAAAGAAAACTGATTTTCAGATAAGTGTTAATAACAAAGTAGAAAATAAAACCAAAAAACCAAAGTTAAAAAACAAAAACAAATGACAGTCCACCATATATAGTATAACCCTTTGCAGAAGGGAAATACTCCAAAATGTGATTTGGGTGTTGAGATTACAAGTGATATTAGCTTTTTTCTTTATGCTGTACAAACATTTTTCAATATTCTAAAATGAGTATATATGTTTATAAATAGAAAAAAAGATGAATCTCACTTAAGACCCAAACGAGTGACCAATGGACTTTGTTTATTGAACATCTGCTTCTCCTCCTACAGGGGCAGAAGCCACAAAGAAACATCAGCAACAGTCCCTATGTTCAAGAAGCACTTGTCTACACTGTCGACCTTTGTTGTTTTGGCTGACCAGCATCCACTCCCTTGTCTTCTGAAACAGCAAGCTACCTTTGTTTTTAGGAAACCATCCCTTTCTTTTTTTTTTTTTTCAACATTTATTTATTTTTTGGGGGGGGACAGAGAGAGACAGAGCATGAACGGGGGAGGGGCAGAGAGAGAGGGAGACACAGAATCGGAAACAGGCTCCAGGCTCCAAGCCATCAGCCCAGAGCCTGATGCGGGGCTCGAACTCACGGACCGCGAGATCGTGACCTGGCTGAAAGTAGGTGGGAAGGTGGAGGGAAGGATGGCAGTGAATGGACTCTTCTTCCCCTACTCGGACGCTTAACCAACTGCGCCACCCAGGCGCCCCAGGAAACCATCCCTCTCTGACTCAGAGATTTCATTAAGCCTTGTAGCCTAGGCCTAGGCCAGTTAGGCCATTCTATTCCTTAGCTAGAGGACTGGTTCGGGTACACACGTGACTCCTCAGGATCAAGAGAGAACAAATGAAACCAAAAACTGGGAGGAGTGGCTAGAAGAGCTCCAGTCTCTTGAGACAACTGGATGATGGGCCAAGTGGGAGATGACCTCTTTCTCCCGCGATGGTCTAGGTATGGCAATGGCCTATCTCCTATGATAGAGATAGTTTCAGTGGGAGATGACTCCTCTCTCCTGTGACAGGCTAAATGTCATGGTGACCCCTCTCCCCTATGATGGTGCAAGTGGGAGGTAACTCCTTTCTCTTGAGACGGACTAGGTGTGGAAATGACTCTTCTCTCCCACGATGGCTTTAGTGGGAGATGATCCCTCTCCCCTCAGATGGTCCAAGTGTGCTAATGCTTCTTTCTCATGAGATGGTCTAAATGTGATCATTCAGAAGCCCAAAGCCATGGAGACTCACGTAGAGCATGTCAGTCACCCCAAAAAGAGCAGAACAAGGTCCTTGAACAGAGTCTAATTCCTGAACCCAACTCACCCCCACAGCTAGCCTCACCAGGGATAGTGAGTTAATACAGTGAACAAATTGTTGTGCTTAAATCAACTTGAATTAGGGTTTTGTTTTCCTTTGTTCTTCATTTGCTTTTGGTCTCCTGACTACGATATTTCTCAATTATCCTGGCCCTAGAAGAGTAGCTACAGCCAACTATAACCCAAAGTAGCAGGTGCTCTAAGACAGTCATGAGGGCAGGGCTCCAAACACAGAGGAGAAACGGATTCAACTGAAGAGCTCAGGAAATGCTTCCTCTGTGAGCTGGGCCTTAGGAGTCTGGAAATGGAATTCTCAGCATGAGTAAAGGCAGAGGAGTGTGCAGGGCACAGCGTGTTCAAGGAAGTGTTTGTAGTTTATTGAACCCTTGGTAGGGGGAGCAGTAAGAAAGAACAGCCAGGGTTGGATTCCGAAGCATGTTCGAAGGAATTTACCCTTTAATCTAGACAGAAATTATGGAGGTTGAGGAGGGGAAAGTGTTTACAGTAAAAAAAAAAAAAAACAAAAGTGGTGGACCGGTGGAACATAGACTGGAGTGGGAAAGAGAACAGGAAACCATATAGCCTTTGTTCATGTTGCTTTCTCCGTCCGACATGCCCTTCTAACACACTCCTTATAGGGAGGAAGCATTTTACTCGTCCTTATATCCCCACCGCTCGATACAGGGGAGGCCTTCATAAATGCTTGCTAAATAAGTGAAGAAAAGAAGGAATCCATAGCTTACCTATTTTTCAAGTCAAATCTACTTTTTTTAATCAAAAGTTTTTTAACATTTTTATTTACTTTTGAGAGACAGAGAGCCTCAGCATGAGCAGGGTAGGGGCAGAGAGAGAAGGAGACACAGAATCCGAAACAGGTTCCAGGCTCTGAGCTATCAGCACAGAGCCTGATGCAGGGCTTGAACCCACAAACTGCGAGATCATGACCTGAGTGAAAGTCGGACGCTCAACTGACTGAGCCACCCAGGCATCCCAACTCAAATCTACTTTAAAAGCCCACCAGCTCACACCAATTCCCACCACTCAACCCCTAACCCCATACACATGACCTCCTCTTTTGATGTTTTCCTGATTTACTCATTTCAACCTGTACAACGAATGCCAGGCCCTGTTACTTAACTATCTCATGTACTGTCGTCTCCTGTTGGTAACTATAGAACAGTCACTGGGAAAGGAATCACATCCGCTCTTACAATCAGGCTGGACTCCAGGCTCGACTCAGATAGTCTACTTACTTCCCAGGTGGGTTCAAGGACTTAAACTCAGCAACACTGCCGTATAACTTAACAAGATGTTGAGTATCAAAATTTAAACATTAAAAATACTACATTACACTTCTCTTCCCTGTTATCTAAATCTGCTTAACTTACAGCAAAATAATAACGAACACAAGGAATGGCATGTTTAAAGCGCAGTCAAGCCCTGCTTTATTATGTTACTCAGCCATCTGTGACCCTTCATTAGAGGCATTTGGGAATCTAGCTCTGAATCACTCTGCTGAATGACAATGGCAATGCAAAAATAGTCCTGTGGCTTTAAGAGCCTCGCTGCTCATTTATATTTGGTCCATATTTCTGTAACAGTAAACAATGGTCAAGTTCTGCCTACGTGATAAAGTTCCTGGTAGAAAATGTGATGATAGGCAGATGTTAAAGAAAAATGATATTGCTATGATTACTTGTACACACACACACAACACATGTGAATTCGGATCTTCTAAGTATTAACAGAGTTGCCTAAAACATCATCGGATTCTACATCTAGAGGCAAACCTGCTAATGGCACTTATCTCTTTTCAGGTTGTACCACATCGGTGTCATAACAAGCACTGACTGCTTTCTGGTCAAGAGAGAAAGAGATGTAATTTTATTTTGTAACTGAATGGCAACCGAGGAATCACAGGCAGGCTTGGGCAAGGCCAGGGCCCCACGGGGCTGCCTTGGTTTCTCCTCGGCCTTTCCTTCTTCCCATCACTATCACCCAAGGCATGCTCCTGATCCCTCTGCATTCCCAACCAGAAACAAAATTTTGATTGCCCAAATTCCTGCTTAATTGGAATGTCTTTCGGTCTTCTCTGAGGTGGAGTTCTGCCCCTTGGGTCTGATGGGAAACCCAAATGTGCCACCTGGAACTTATTTCAATGCTTGCACAGCTCACAAATTTAAAATCCCACCTGTCTGAAGGGCAGACCACAACAGAATTGCAGACGTAACACAATCCCACCCGTGCGTAATTCTTCATGTACAATAACCATGGAAGCCAATACTCAACAAGCCGGCCGCTATCTGGAAAATCAAATCAAATAAGCCATTCCTGGCTGGTCACATTCGCCAGTGTTTCCAGACGGGGGTTGCTGGTTCAACTTCCCTCTTCCCCACAGGCGCTTGGAATCGGGCCCCTGGATTCGCACCGGCTGGTGGTCCTAACTCGGAGATGGGTGACCATTATCCACCTTGCTGGGGATCTGGAAAAGGGGGCCTCCTGGCGGGGAAGACGGCCGTTCCCCGTTAAGGTTTACTAGAAGATAGAGACCAGAGGGGAGGCGGATGGATGCTAACGCCCGAACCAAAATTCTCATATCCCACATCTAATCACTGAGGCAACTCTCGCAAATCGCGCGAAATGCATCCATCACCGAAGCTCCGCGGAAGCACCCCCCCACGCATCAGGGCCGGCTCAGCCCCAGCCCGCGCGGCCCTCCGGCGGCGGCGAGCAGGGGCGCGGGCGCCGACCGGCCGGGCAGGTGCCCCGAGCCCCGCGCTTACCCAGGGCCCAGGTGCAGCTCTCTTTGATGGCTTTGTACTTGCTCCCGGACGCCTCCTTCTGCAGCTTCCTCAGGATCTCTTCCATCTTGACCTTCGTAGGGGCCCGGCCACCGACAGC